TTCAGCATTTTTGAAGTCTCATTAAGAAACCGATTAATATAGACTCTTAGTTTGATTAATTTGATTGGTCAATCATTGTATACGTAGAATGATCTGCAACAATCTGGAAAAAGAACTAGAATGATCCGATTGACGATCATTGCCAAATAAGGCGCAATCATTGATTACCAAATATGGTAAAATCTCTGACTGAATTATTGTTCCATTTTTTTTTTTTTTTTAGATCATAATACCTCACGTTCTATTAATCATGTGACTGGCAAATTTAGGTGATATAAACTCACCATCTTCGATTTTAATATGAACAAATTTGGTTAATACTTTTTTTGTGGTTTTTTAAAAACATCTAATTATGCAATTTTTATGTAGCGTAATAATTATAGCATATTTATGTAATAAAATAAATTATGCATTTATGACACATTGATAACAAAAATGTATAAAATACTTGCCCGATTAGTAATGGTAAGTATGCAAGCAAACTATTATAGTAATAAGAGCGATTCCAATTTCAAAAAGAATGAGTATTTCTACCCTTCTTGAAGAAGGTTACTCCAGCCACACTATTTCTTTTCGTGAAAAAGTAAGCCATAGTACTGTCTTAAGAATCAAACATCTAAAAAAGCAAACTGGTTGCTTGGATGTTTTACCAAGGCCAGGTCACCCCAGAATACTTACCGAATACTATGAAAAAAGAATAGCCAGGCTTTTTAGGTCTAGTGAATGTTTGAGTGCTGTTCAAGTACAAAAAAAATTAACATCTGACGAAGACATTTGTGTTTCCATGAATACAATTCGTCACGCACTATGGAGACAGAGTCTCCAATCTAGGGTAAAGAAAAAAAAACCTCTACTTAAACCACGAGACAAAAAAAAAACGAAGAGAGTTTGCAAAAAAATACCGTCATTGGACCGTTGAAGATTGGTGAAAAGTTATTTTTTCGGATGAATCGAAGTTCAAAATTTTTGGCTCAGACGGAAGAGAATGGTGTTGGAAAGATCCAAATTCGCCTTTGTTACCATAACACATAAAGCCAACAGTAAAATTTGGTGGGGGTCCATAATGGTATGGGGCTGTATAGGTGTGTACGGTGTTGGAAACTATTGTAAAATTGAAGGAAACATAGATAAGGAGTTGTATCGTGAAATACTAAAAGATGAGTTCTTGGGGATGTTGTGGGTGTGACGTTTAAAAAAAATGAGATCATTTTTCAACACGATAATGACCCAAAGCACAGGTCGCATTTGGTTACAGACTGGTTAGATGAAAATGGAATTGCAGTTTTGGATTGGCCGCTATTCTCTCCCAATCTAAATCCCATAAAGCATTTATGGGATGAAGTTGATCATCATTTGTGACAACTTCCTGGTAATATTACTAGTGAGACGGATCTGTGGAATAAGATTCAAAAGGTGTGGAATGAGATCAATGACGATTATGTTTTAAAGCTAATCAACACAATGCCTCAACAAATTAAGGACATGCTCAAAGCTAAAGGGGGTATACTAAATGGTAAATTTTAGAAAAAAAAAAAATTTTAATTTGCTTAAAATAAATTAAAAAAAATTCATGTAATTAATTTTTTTGGCTTTGTGCCAAAATTATTGTTCCACAAAGTTTGTGGAAATTTAAATTTTTATAAATATTTTTTTGCGAAATTAAAAAATTTAATAAAGGAAGTTAAGAGCTTTATACCATTGAAGTTTATTAGTTATTTGTTTACAGAATGTGAAATATCGCGCTCTAAAAATTTTAAACACAGTGGAACAATAATTATGAGAGTCAGTGTAGATGCACTCGTCGAAATTGAGGTGGTTCAGTCGATCTAACCAAAATCGGTGGAAATTTGCCAAAACTGCTATAACGATAACAATTGATAACTACAGAAATAGCAGAAAAGCCTTGTGGTCACACCATTCTGTGCCACCCACAAAAAAAACCTGGAATGCGCTAAAGCCTTGTGGGATGATTCTATTATCACGTCGTGTGATGTCGGGTTCGAATATTCAAACTCCGATTTTGATTAGTAATATATATAATATATATTGCTAATCAAAATCGGAGTTTGAATATTCAGACCCTGACATCATGCGGCGTGATAATTAGGTTTCGGGATGTTAAATGCATCGACCTCCAGATATAGAAGATCTACCAGAAATAGCAGATATAGTCATAACGGCAGAAAAGTTCGTAGTTAATTAGTACGATATAAAAATGTATTTAAGCACAATTACTTCACGACAAAATAAAGCACAACTCCCCTTGAGTTCTTAACTACATAATAGTAGTAGTTTCCTAAGTACCCTTTGATTAGGCCGGACTAACTTAATTCGGTGGTTTACATTACATTCCTCTCTCAAAAGGGAAAGGGGGTTAAAAAATGGAACGACATAGTAAATTTTAATATAAATTTTTTAAATCAGAAATTTTCGGCCTGACCTTGCTCGTCTTTTATGTTCGTTCATTTTCTCCAGAATTTTTCGGATCCTAATCTTAATTCCGCCCGACATTATGCTCTCCGGCCAAAAACATATATATATATACCCCAAAATTTTTTTTTACTAAGAGAGAAAAGGGAGGTCAAAAGATAGGGGTAATGTAAACCACCGAATTAAATTGGTCTGGCTTTATTGAGGTTGATAATTTAAGAAAATAGTTTAAAATTCTAAAAATCTTAATTCCCGAAACGCTTATTTGCGCAAGTAATACAGCATAAAGAGGGATAGTATCTAAAGTTATATAACGAAAATTTTAATTTTAAAGAAGGATTTTAAAGTTAGGCCAAGACCAGGTATTAGATGTAAAAAACATCACGCTTCTTGTTTTTTTTTAAAAAAGCTTTATTAGGTCCTATAAAATTAATTATGCTAGACTGTTAATAATTTAAAATTTTAAATCTTGTATAAGGGCCAGTGTTAAAATTCGGTACAAATATGTTGTGCAAAAAATTTTTTTATGCGTAAGATTAAATGTTACATATTCTTTTTTATTTCATATGGACTAATCAGGGAAATTGGACCCTAGACAGAGACACCAAATCTATTTTGAATCCCACAATTAATCATTTTTAATTGGTTATATTGAAATAAATTTAAGGAAATTCGGATAAATACCCTAAAATAATTCAAGGATATAATTGATTATGCAAGATAATGCGTCAAACCCATTTGTCCCAGGCCAAACCCATTTCTCCAAGCCTTATAGAGTTATGCTATTTGACATCATTATGTATTATATACGCACGTACGTGCGTATGGTAGAACGTTCAGTGAAAAATTATATAATTTAAATTTTATATTAATAAGTAAAGACAATACATTTCAAGCGACCTGACCAACATCAAAATTTTTTTATTACCCCATATGCATGTCGCAAATTAGCCCATATATTATGCAATTTGTACGTACAGTTCATTGTTAATTTTATGCAAATAACAATACACGAACAACAAATTTTTAACACTGGGTCGATAGTATTATACCATATATGCATCCGGTAAGACATGAAAAATTTCTATATTTGGTCCAAGATCAGATGTGTAACATAAAATTAAACTTATATAAGATTTTAGATTAATCCAATATAGCTTAACTTTTAACAAAATTTTCCTTGAAAAATTTTGAAGTTTTGGTGTGAGTAATTAACTTTAAAATTTTTCTGCCATTTGTCAACTGAAAATAAAGAATATAGAAAATAAACTTAGGTTGAATACTACTATCAAAATAGTTTTATTAAAAGGAGAAAAAGTACTAATTGTATCGAATATAAGCTTTATTTTGTAATAAATACAAGTTACTCTCGTTATAGTGAACTCTCAATATAGAGAAGGCTAATTAAAATCTCGATATAGCTCAACGCCACTTTATATAAAATTCTCTTGATATAGTGACTTTATTAATAAAACTTTCTTAATGGAACGGATCACTTTACTATAATGAGAGCAACTTGTACTGTTTATGTTTAAATTCATTTTAATGCGAGTTAATGGTATAAGAACTAATTTTATTTTTTAAAAAAACCAATTCAAATCTTGTTTTATAATGTGAAGATATTTTCTGTCTAAAGATGGAACATGCACAAGAGAAAGAAGCCAAAATTTTATTATTGGGTATGACGGGGGCGGGGAAGTCTACATTTATAAATCGATTGACCAATCATTTTAAAGGGGGAAGTCCACAAAATCTTAAAATTGCCATACCAACTAAATATTTAAAAGTCACTGAAAATGGTGCGTATATATGCTACGCTACCTAAACCTATTTTTTTTCGGTATAATATAATAAATTGTTGATAATTTTTAGAAACCACGCATTCTGAAAAAGATATAGATGATGAAAGAAAAAGCAAAACAAGAGAATGCAAAGCTTACAGTTTCACAGATCCAAAGGATCAATCCAATAAATTTATTTTCATTGACACTCCTGGGCTAAGTGATGTTGATGGTGCTGAACAAGATAAAGAAAACATTACAAAAATAATTAAAAGCACCCTTGATGCTCAGCAATTGTCTGGCATTGCAATTGTTGCCAATGGGACCGAAGCGAGATTCACATCTGCAATGAAAAATACTTTAGAGCAATTAGCAAATAATCTTCCTGATAAGCTCTTGGATAATCTATTACTGATTTTGACAAAATGCGAAGAACATACTGCTACCCTCAATCCAGATACTTTTTTTGCTAAACCAAAGGTATACACTCTTAAGTTGCTTCTGTGC